TTACATAATGCCAAAATGGGGCATTTTCAATGCCTCACTGCTCCTTAATGAGCATGGGCACCCCCCTTTTTTATTTCAAAATTGAAGTTGTCATATGACTAATATTCAGTGGACAAAGTTTGAACAAAAATCTATTGTCACTTTTATTTCGGAGGAATTACCTTAAGACAATTTGCACTAGTTTGCTTGCATAACATCACCTTGACAGAAACGGTACTTCCACAACATAAATGGGGGAAAGAATTTTTTCTTAGAATTCTTAAAGGTTCAAATTTCCTTTTTTTTTACCATTTTTCTTTTGAATCTACACATTACTTAAAGGACTTCTGAGAAAATATTTTGTGATTTGAACAAATGATTTTGCAGGTAAAAATAATTTTCTAAACCTGTCAAATTTTCCACCATTTTGGTTAACCATTCACCATAGTCTTCTCTTCTTCTCTTGATGTACATCAAGGAGCAGGTAACTTAAGAGTAGCAGGGTTGTCATAAAGTTTTGAAGTAGGCAGCTTTCTTGTTGGAGTAGGTGCCTGATTTTGCCATGTCTAGTGCAAAGTGCATCATTGGAATGGTTTAGGGGGCTGCCATCTGCTAAACCACTAATTAGTGGATAAGTGGGTTACACAGTGTTTTGTAATACAAATTATTTTTGAAGAGCATCTGCATTCCTCTAAATAAAGCACACACCACCTGGTGTCTTAATATAATACTAATAATATAATACTAATAATTAAAAAAACAAACATTGCAAAACGTACTTTCCCTCAAAGGTGAGAAAATATCTTCCTGGTCATTTCCATTTTGTTGTGTTAAAGGTGTGTGAACACCATGATCTTGTTCTTTTGGCTGGCCAGTTGGTGTGGAGGGTTTGTCAGTTGTTACTGCAGACTGTTCTGTTGGCAGCTGTGCTGTTGGCTTTATGTTTGACACTGCAGGCTTCAAACTCTTATTGTTTGCTAAACTATTAACCTACAGGAAAACAGAACTTACATTACTATGTTTGTACACAAGCTACAAGTGAAAGGGTGTCTATAAGTGTCTCACAAAGTCCTGGGCACTGGCCACACTGAGTAGTATTTCAGTGGACAATAATAATTGCGGAGCTCCGGCAGCCCAAAGGGCCACCAAGTGGAGCCCCATACTCATCTAAGAAAGAAAAGGAAACCCATGAGTTGATTTTCTCATGGTTATCGTGGCTAGAGGTATTGCTTGTGGGCATGTACGCACAATGGCGACGGTGATGACGGCAAACGACGGCAACGATGGAGTTGCGCAACATGGCAGCGATACTCCAAATAATAGTTTGACGGACACACAGCCTTGGTTTACCATGTACCTCTTTGATACTGGACAGCCATGTTATAATCATTGACACCTGTCAAAACAAGGTATCCACTGACCAGTATCACGTGACCATATCATGAGCTCAAGTTTACAGCTCATTAAGGTCACGTTTTTTTGAAGTTGACCACTGAGCATGTGCTGGTTTTCAATTGGATCGCGGGCTCATGTTAGGTTAACTTGTTGAAAACAGGGCAGGATTGTTCGGAAGCCAGTTAACGCTAACCCAGGATTAAAAGTTAACCGAATT